AGTGGTCCAGTTGTTTTTTTTTAATTCAATTTAAATGGAATTAAATGTCCTTGGTGACCATCCTACCACACAAACAAGAGAATAGCTCTGTAGTAAGAAAATATTAATTAAACCAAGTATTTTATATAGGAAGTGGAGACTAAAAAACTTGGCCAGACTGTTCAAGGTCTAAATCTGCTCATCATCTTTATACAAACAGAGAACACAGAACTCTCCTAATGACTGGTGTTCAGTTTAGCTGGTAACCCAGCTAAAATGCTTTTACACTGAGACACTGATCGAAGGTTCTCCTGATTAATACAGTGACAGGTTTGGACATCATGTTGAACAGAACCACCAATAATTATGAAGTACTGTTTCACGCTATAGTGAAGAGGAAAGAAAGTTTGAATGCTGGCACCCCAAACTTTTTTGGGTGTTTTTTTTAATCAAGAGCAGATGTTTGCAGGAAGTCTGTATTACATCAGACTGCTATACTGTTTTGACAGGACACAAAATGTCCATACAGTAGGACTACACAGGCAGCTGTCATTATTCATCCAGCATTATCTTTCAATGGAGTTATGGGTATATACAGCATTTGTGTCACTGCCAATTAATCAGTTGCTGTCACTATCTGGTTATCAAACAAGCAATCTGGGAAATCTGAACCATTCCCACTCTCAATGGTACAGATTCTTCTTAGTTTTCACATTGTGTGATCAGTTGCTTTGTTTCCTAATGCTCAGAAAGCACTCACGAAATACTTTTTATCAGCAAAGAAACTTTCAGATACAATTTTATAAAGAAYTTGCTCAGACATATGGAAACATCTGTTTTATGCTTAGCTATGGCCAAGATGACTGGTACTAGAATAATCCCTTCAGTTTAGTTTGTGAAAACTTGTTACACCCTACCTATGCTTACAGCTTTGAGTCTTGATCTTCAAGATGGAGGAACTTAATTCCCTCATCTGCTRAATATATAGGAAAACATCATGTTCGTATAAGGCATACAGCAGTACTTTTGAGTCATTAGCCTTATTCAGTAAAACACAGTGACAATTTACGTTCAGGTTTTTTCTCCTTCATTTGAAATAAAATCACCATCCTGCACCACTCCTGAAGAACAAGACCAGATTATATTTATGAGGGGAAAAAAAACTAACATAAACTCACATGCTTACCTAGAGGGATTTTACTGCATTAATGTTCAGGACTGAGTCTTCTCCTTCTTTTCCCCTCCAAATGGAATTTTTGTCATTAAATGTGGGAATGAGTGCATACACAGGGCTGATGGATAGCCCTTTATCAGAGGGCAGGTTCAAGCTTGCACCGTGCTCATTCCAGCTTCTCCAACACAGCCCCATCCATCCATTCCCTTTGCAACAACCAACAATGTAAGTTTTAGCTTCCATTCCCRTTGAGTCATCAGTCTCTCTGTGGATACTGGAAATCAAGGCAATCCTGCATGGCTAATTGTGGCAGATATCAAATGACAGAATCTGTATACCCCAGTGGGGACTCAAAGCAGGGAGAGAAATGAAGGGCTTCAGATTACAAAGCTGTCACTGGGAACCAACAGGGGATTTCAAAATGAGATATTGCATTTTYACTGACAAAGAGTTTCTTTGCCACAGAAAAACAATCAGGTGTTAGCTCTTCTTCTATAAATACAGTGTGYATTTCATTCACAAAAACAAAAATTCAATTTTGACAACCAGGGATAAAAAAAGTACTTCCTGTTGATCTCACAGTAYACTACTAAAGCCATGACCTGACTTAAAATTCTCTAATGAAATAACAAAGACGTGTTTATTGCTACACAAACAAACAAGAAAAATTCCTTGGCTTTGTCTTCACTGAGATAACACTGTGTATYGAATTCTACTGGGAGCAACAAACTGAGCATTGTGTCAGGTCCTTTGATCTCCCCCGCTTTAAGTACACAAAGTCTGAAAGATGACTGATAGGGAGGATAGAGAAAGAAGAAAACAAGGAACATTCCACTTTTCTGACCTTTTACTGTCTGATGACCAGATGACAGAGGGTGTGCAGGGAACACTAGAGTTTTATGTATTGCAGGGGAATGTCTGAAGTAAGAAGAGATTCTCCTTGAAAGAGACTGTGAAACCATTTAAAGGTGGGTTTGGACCAGAAACAACATGAAATGTTTCTTTATGACTCAACAAAGTCATCACTGAGCTAAACTGGATTTGAACAGAGTTTRGAAGGCACAGTCTTTCTAGTCTAGCAGCTAAGTTCAGCTCCATTCATGTTAGCATAGGTGAGCATCCATTCTGAGTCCTGCATGATAAAACCTTTCCCGAAGCAAATGTAGCCTGACTCTTCCAAATGGCACCAGAAGTTAAGGGGCATGTCCAATTTATATCAGATAGGTTGCACTGATAGCTAAAAATCACTKTTAAGATGTGAAGGAAAATCAGCTTAAATTTATTTCTAGCATATCCATGCCCTTAGAGATCAGATTTGCAAGATTTAAGAGAGTCTACTGAGTTAGTAATTTGAACCTCTCTCACTGACTGGCTGCCAAACTCTCCCTCTAATTCCAGACATGTAGCAAAACAAAATAGGTGAATTTGGTCAATATTTTCAATTTAATGTTCTCCTTTGCACAGAAACAAGACGCCTTTGAGGTTCTCAAATTTTTCATAGTCTAAACTCATCCTAAGATATTTATGACTGCAGACACTTTTGCACAAAGCCCACCTTTTAACAGGAAAACCGTCATTGTGATAAAGCCTATTTTAATCAGAATACTTCAGCCCACAACATGCATAGATACAGCCCAAAGCTGGTCCTGAAATGAAAGTAAACCATCCTACCATCRTACTGGAGCACTGAGGCATTATTTTAAGACTAGCTTGAATGACTGCAAAAACAAGAATTAGAATCAGACTTTTGTTTTCTCATTGCTAGGTAGCTCCATGTTTGATTTTCCTTTTTCCCTTCCTCTTTCTTCCATATGTCTGTTCGTGTGTGTTTGACTGTTATAAGCACCTTATCAATACTGACGTTAGTCCTCAAAATTCATTTCAGAGGGATGACTTTTATGGCTCCCGTGATTCTTAAGCCGCCTACAGTATTTGTAACTCAGAGAATCAGAAACTAACACACAGACTGCRTTGCTTTTCATACAAAGGCACAATAGGAATGAATGTATTAACCTCTGTGGTGCATGGAATGTGTCAGCTTACACACTGGCAGCTATTTCTGTGAAACTCAGCTAACTTCCGCTGGCTGTGTTAAAATAAATTTTTTTTAAAAAAATCTTCCCCAGAACTGTGTCCCACACTCTCGTATGCTGGCCAAACAACTGAAATATCTGAGGTCTACTTCATACTGTTAYGGGCCAAACTGAGCTGGAGAATGCATCTCACACATCCTGGTTATAAATGCTGAGCCTTTCCAAGCAGGTATAAAGCTCTGCTGTTCCATGTGACTTGGCAAATAATAATGAGCAGGGAGAAGCATTTGCAAAGGAGAGCTTGGGGTTTTTTTTTGTTTCTAGAAAAGAGTGGCAATCCAGACTTTGCAGAATGTTAGAGATGATTTGGATCTCGATTTCCTCTCAGTCCCAAATATCACTTGTCTTCATCCTACCAGCCAAGCATGTACAAGGGTAGCAAAATTCACACTGTGGCAATGGACATCACATTTGCTTAATTCCAATGACTTGACAAGAGTTGTGGGGCTGATCAGGAATATCCAAAGACTTGCCATCATTAAGACCCATGGACATCCTAATGCTTCCAAAAGTCAGAATACTGACAGTCTGAATCAGATACAACTGGCTACCAGGTCAGCTCTTTAATGTAGCTGAAAAAAATCCCAAACCCTTTAGTGTCTTTCYACCTGTTTTCTAATTGTCAATGTTAAATTAGGATAATCACCAATTATCTACAATACAGCAGTGCCTAAAATGCTCTGGGTACCATAAAACACAGTAGGAGGAGCCAGTCATTGCTCTGAAGAGCTTATGGCCTAAAAGGACGTAATCAYGTTAACGACTTTTAAGCAGTTTAAAAGTGCTTGTCAGGACAGAGCTTTTCTGCCTGGCAATCCATTTCCTTTTGGTATTTTACAGCCTGCATGAGAACAATCTAATGGAAAAGTGTCCTGGTTTCAGCTGGGATAGCAYTGGTTTTCTCAGTAGCTGGTACACTGCTGTGTTTTGGATTTAGGATGGGRATAACCTTTGATAACACACTGATGTTTTGCTGTTGCTAAGTAGTCCTTACCCTAAATCAAGGATTTCTCAAGTTTCCCATGCCGTGCCTGTGAGAAGCTGCACAAAACTATGGGAGGCAGCAAGGCTGGGACAATTGACCTGAACTGGTCATRTTCAAAGGAATATTCCATACCAGAGAACATCATGTTCAGTTCATAAACTGGGGAGAGTTGTTCAGGAGTGATTAATCACTGCTTGGGGACAGGCTGGGCATTGGTCAGCATGCAGAGAGCAATTGTTTTCGTTAGGTTTTATTCTTCTCTGTTTTTCATTACAATTGTATTATTATTATTATTATTATTATTATTATTATTATTATTATTATTATTATTATTATTATTATTATTACTGTATTTTATTTTATATCAATTATGAAACTGTACTCATCTCAACCCATGGGTTTTACCTTGTTTTTCCCGATTCTCTTCCCCATCCCACATTAGGGGGGTGAGTGAGTGGCCATGTAGCACTGAGCTGCTGCCTGAGGTTAAACCACGACAATGAGAAAAGCAAACATACTGCTATGAGGAAATTTAAAGGAAAAACCTAAAAGTAAACTGACAACAGAGACACAAAAATGTAACAAAAACTTCTAGCAAGGTAAAAGGAAAATGTGTTATCRTTTGACAACTCTTCTGCTTCAGATGCAAATTTAACGCGAAGAGAACAGCACCAAAGTCCCTGTTAACCGCATTGTGTTCCAATGGAAGAGAAAACTGGTTTTCATATTTACTTAACCTTCACCTCCTGTGCATTGTGCCGGGACTTACCTGCAGTTGGAGTGGGCCTAAGCCCGGTGTTGCTGCGGCAGCAGCTGCCATGGTAGTTGGGATCAGCTGAACGGGGTAGGGGTCACCTAAGTAAGAGAATAATAGAGGCGTCAGCACCTTTTATCTACTCTCCACCTGCAAATTAAAGTCCTGCATTCACTCTTTCCAAAAGCCTTCTTTTGTGTGCCTTGTTGAGGCCTAATGAAAAGCTCTATTGTGCAGCCTTTTACTAACACTCTTTTCACAATTCTGGCTGAGAGAGGAATGTGAATAAAAGGCACAAGCAATTAAGGCGGAAACCTCATCCTTTTTCATGATGTATTTAGGGAAATGGAAAAAAAAAGTGCGCATTGATCAGAAGGCTGCACTTCAAAAAAAAGGAAAGAAAGAAGATGGGGGTGGAGGAGAAGAAAAGGAAAACAGTACAACCTTGATAAGATCACAGCATTAGAAGGGAACAAATTTACAAGCTTGTCCAGAATATGAAGTTAACCAAACTCTGCTCACTGTTAGTAAACTGAGCCTCACACAGAGTAGAAATGGTACTCAATTGACTACTCTGTTTTCTTTTAGGTGAGAAAAAAAAATCTCACTTTAGTGGCAGGGTTTGATCCTACAACAGGAAAAAGCACATGAAGTTAAGGAAATCAGATACAAGGCTTTGAAATCCCTGCACCAGCTCYATGCCTTGAGATTCAATTTTGCTTCTGAGGGAAAACTACTTCAGTTTTGGTAAGAACTGCATTGTGCTTAATGAGATAAAGGGACCCAGTAAAGGTTTTAAGAAAAAATTGCAGGCATTTATAAAGGAAAATTACCTGAGATGGCAAAAATTGTGATGAAGACTGGTGTGTTTTAATGTTATGGAGTGAACACTTTCGGTCACTCCTAACGTATCTGATTTGTCAAAAAAACTTCAGACTCTTCCATCCACAAATCCATTTAAAAAAGTGGCAAAAATAATAAAAATGTTACACATATTACATTGATCCTCCAAGTGACCAAATGTTTTACTTTCTACTGAAGTAAGGCTCACCAGAGCATTTCTGAATGTTCCCATGCTAGTGGCATGCCTGATTTCTGTCATAAAAACAGCCACTGGAAATTAGACTATGGAAAAGGCAGGACACTAACAGGAAAACCTACCTAAATGTTCCTGTACATTGCATTAGAGAGATGGATTAAAAGTTTTCCCCTTTATTGTGCTTTTTTGAATGAACTGGGTGAAAAAATAAAAAAGACAATTGAGAAGGTAACGCAGRGTGTTCTATACAATCATTCATGGTTATTATTGAATTAAAGTTTAAAATGTTATCAAGCCTYAGTTACAGGAAAAAGAAAACAAAGGGAAAGAATATTATCTAATGTTTTTTAAATGTTAGAAATAAGCTGCGTTGGTGCACTCATGTTCAGGAAAGCAGCTACTGTTTATTTTCCTCTTTTATAACACAACTTTCTTTAGGATCTTTTCATTCAAGGATTTTCATCTCCTCCCATTAAGAATTAAACACTACAACTTATAGTAATGGAGGGCCAGCAGAAACTGGGCTGGCAAAGCATCTTAACAGATACTTAACTTAAACAACTCTCCATGTTTATATTTAAGAACATCTTAAGTAATGCTTTGCTGAAGCCTCACAGTCTTTGAAGGCTGACCAGCCAAGCAATGCAAACCAACACATCCACCCAGGCATCCTCATTCACCAAGGTCTTTGCATCAGCACYAGGCCACAACACTTCTACTTAATTGTTGATGGGCAACAGATTTCCTGACTTGCTTGGGGTTTTTTTATTTATTTTTTTTTTCCCCAGAGAACGCCATTGTTCTTTATTTTCCAATTTTGTTTTGCTTTCTGAGGCACCCACCTTCCTTTTCATATAATGGACTGAATCAAAAATTTCTCTGACTTGAAATTTTAATTTTCTGGAGAGCTATCTTGTGRCCTAAGCGGTGAAGACACAGAGAAAAAAGAAACAGTGGTCACACAGTCAGGGTCAGTGGTATTTGACTGCTTTCACAACACCAGTAGCCCAAAGGCTGATCCCAGCATCATTCCAAAAGTCTCTCTAAAAGAAGACAATCTGACCAGAAAATGGCAATGAAAGAAAATTTTTAATTATTCAATTGCAAAAAAAAAAAAAAAAAAAAAAAAAAAGGGAGTAGTTTTAGACGAGGAAGCTGATTCTTACAGCCCATTAAAATTTCTAGTTTTGAATGATTTGTATTAAAACATACATATTAAAAGATCAGTTTCTACACACTCTCCAATATTTCTCTCCACACGCATGTACCAATCTCAGTCCATCAAGTTAATTCATAAATCCCTCCATTCCCACCAATAGCCCAGGGGAAGAGCCAATATTAAAACACACAGATAACTTTTCAGGTTTTGGGTCACCATCCATGAGGATGCCAAGCATTTGCAGATTGACATCACACAGTGCAGGAACAACCACCAGCCCTCAAAATACCAATAAAGATCTCAGGTCTTATCTGATAAATACACTTTTTTTGCTGTTACTCTAAAAYATACTACATCTTTCTACTATCCTTAAATATATTCCCATATCAGAGTGATTTTTTTGACTAAGCRGTTTTAGCTAATTCTGAAATGTGGGAAATGCATGTCTTAACTATTTCATTACATCTTCAGTAAATATCTTATTTTTAGATATAAGAAGTAGCTACATTTTTTTTCCCAAGCTCTAGGAACATTTCAGGAATGTGAGACGAGACATAGAGTTCTTAGAAACAGGTATTTCCCAAGACATTCACAAGTCTGTACCACTGAAAACACCAACAAAATCTCTAACAACTATATTACATTTCCATTTACAAAATTCACTATTAATCTAATGCATGCAGCAAGGAGCATATTTCAGCTACCATAAGAAACATTTCATGTAGTCCTTTCATGTTCCAAACTGCCTCTTGTTATGTGCGGACTTTACTTCTAAACAAAGCATCAGGGAGAAGTTTTATTGTTGTTTTTCTTTAGTAGGCCATATGGCAAAATCTGGAGCAGATCAAAGGCTGGGATTTTTATGGTGACAACAAGGTAAAAATTATTTCATTAGCTGATGTATTATTGCCTAATATAGAATTATTTTCCAGCTAGTCATGACATCACTTTGAAGAACAGAATTATTCAAAACTGGCTACATAAAGAGAGCACAGAATTCATGCACTGGTGAGGCAGTAGCTAAAGAAGGGAAGAGGGAATGTCACTCTAGGGGAGATGATGGGGAATATTAGAGATGTTGGTGCACGCTGGGGGCAGTGTCAGTGGATCAGGGATAACACAAGGCTGAACCCTCCATTCTGTGCCAATACTCAATTTTTCTACCCTTCTTCTGGTCCATCTTCCATAAACATACTCAGAACCTCTTTCCCGATAATTTATGCACTGTAACTTCTTTCAATTTCAAATCACACCTTCATCCTTGCCCAAAATAATCTTCCAAGATCTTGCTTACAAGAGGATTTTTCATGAAGTACATTCACTTTTAAACCGGTCTTTCTACAAACTCTCCTATGATCCCCCACTGAAAACACTTTTCTGTGAAAGTGAAGTTGTGGTACAGAGCCAAGTGGACATCCTGTCCCAACACACAAAATAACAGCCCTGTGTTTAGGAACTTGATTTTTAACTGACTGGCTACCAAACTCATGGATATGAAATGATTCTGTACTTGTGGAAATACAACAGTGGCTCTCAAACCATTTATATGTTCTGTGAAATCAAAGGAGTTTAATAAATTAAAAAACATTAAGACTTCGTTTTTTAAAAAGAGAAAATAAAGCATAAGACCTAACATTATGTCTGTTGCACCATTCACCAAAACTCCTAAGATGTTTTTTGTGTTCCTTTTTCTGTCACTCATCTCATTTATTCTCCTTCATGGTGTAATCCCCCCTAGTGTCTTGTCTTGTCTCCTGACAGGCTGCAAGCTCTTCAGAGCAGGCACAATTGTCTTACTTGCTGTATAAATCAAGTTACATGCTAATRTTAAATTATAATGTTTTGACAGGATTAAGTTGAACCTGATTATATGAAACAATAGAATACTGATACTTTTTCCCTGAAATKTTCTTCTCTTAAAAAAAAGGATACCAGAAGAGAAGAATTAGGGCGTTTATTTCCCATGATTTTTTTAAACTCATTGTTCTCCTCCTATCTGTCTTTCAGGGACAGCAAATGACAAAAAAGTTTGAGGTCATGGAAGAAAAAAGAAAAGAGTGTAAAGAACATAAAGARTATGAAACAAAACCAAACTCTTAAATTATAATTTCCAAGACCAGTAYGCTAAACTAAATTCCATGGAAAATACCAGAATAAACAGTTTCTTATAGTAGATTCTGTTGAATGAAAAGGAATTTTGCATTTTTGACAAATTCTAGAAAAAGACACAATAATTTYACACTCAATTTATCACTTAAATGYATTTATAATGAATAATCATAGCTGATGGCCAACTGGCAGATAAGGCACTGAATTTCTTYTCCCCACTTATTCATTCTCAACCTMATTTTCCTTTCATTTTCCTCGTGTGATAGTGGAACATGCAGTAAAAGTAATGGGAGGCTGTGAAAGACATGAGCAGTGTTCCCTAACTTGTGCCGCTAGAGATTATGGATTTAAATTAATAACAAAAAGAATATGAAGACTCTAAAAGCTTCCTGAAAGAASTCCAAACTGGTTCCCTGATTTTCTTTGAGGACAGCTCTGGACAGTATTGACGAGAGATAAGTCTGTTTTGTGTTTTAGAGAAACGATGGGTTTGGAGGGATCTAAAAGCAGCCTCCCAATCCTTACAAGGTGATCAACAAGACAGGCCAGGGTTTGCTTGGAGKACAAGAGCCAGTGGACACAACATGAATCCAGAGGATCAGATTTGTCCCACAAGGACAGCCAGATGTTGAAACAAGCTGTCTAAACAGGGTTATGCACTCTCTGTCCTTGGAGCTTTGCAAGCCCCAACTGAAAAAAAAGCCCTGAGTAATCTCATCCTATCTCCTCGATGACCCTCTGTGAAGGAAGAGGTGGGAATACAAGCCTTCTTAGATCCCTTCCAACCAGAATAA